AAGCAGCGATTTCAACTGTCCATTTGAATGTGAAATTCTGATTAAAAAGTTATTGGTTGAATCATAGTATGTAAACAAATAAAAGTGCCACTCAGTTTAAGCTTAATATTTATGTAAGAAAAAGATGTTTATAGAAAGGAAGCAGTGAAAAGAGACTGATGTTTAGTAGCTGATAAAGTGTTACTTTCCACCTTGCTTCACAGGGAGGCATAGCAGAGGTCCAGCATTCATTGTGTACGCAACAGCTTAATCTACATTTCCTCAAAAAGGATCCTTCTCAGATCTTTTTCATCATTTCTGTGATGGGTTTGAAAGTGAGATTTAAGAGCTCTGAACCTGCAGAGATCGGGGGTGGGGGTGGGGTGTTCAGTGGATTTAAACTAAAAAACTTTTGTATTTAAAGCCTTGTAGATATTGGAACAACCCAGAAAGATATCTTTATGCTCAAGGACAAATGAACTGTAGGTGTGCAGGTTTTAGGTGACAATGAGTTCTTCAGTACTGTGATTCTTGAACTTGGGTCTAATTTATTTCTTCATTTGCTCATACGTAAACCCAAAACACTAGAAATCAGTGGTGGATTTTTTTTTTTTTCTTCCATGTTTCATGTACTGTACATTGAAGGAAACATGTGGAAAGAACTGCTACTATCATACTGCCCAGAACTGTAGATCATATTGCTTGAGTTAGGGATGCCTGGTGGCAGTGGAACTGAGCATAAGCAGCTTCTCCCCATAACATCACTCAGGTTTCTTACTGACATTTGCAGAATTGCATGGATCATGTTTAATGAGGACTTTGCTGCATTTAGAACACTTTCTTTACTGTGTTAGGCACCTCTTTTAAAATCTACTTTTTAATATCTTTTTTTAAAATCAGGGCACATTTTCCTTTTGTTGACTGACACACTAGGAAAGACATTGTAACTAAATAAGGAAAAGTAGGAATTTTCCTGATGAAGTAGTTTAGGACTCCACTTCTTTCCCAACTATGTCTTTTTCCAAAAATACACAGATACTATTACCGTGAAAGAACATGAACACTTCAGCAAAATCCCTACCTTCTTTTGAGTCAGTAGGAGTTTCACCACTGACCTAAAATTTGTGCAGGATTTTCTTCTGGGTTTTGGAGATTAAAGACAGAAATAGTATTCTAACTGGTTACTTCAGCTGTAGAATGACTCAAGGCCCCTGCTGATTCCCTCATGCTGGCATTACTGTGAGAACCAGAACTGAGAAGACTATCTGTGGCTTTACACATGAAGCTCTGGATAATGTTTCATCTCTTTACTTAAGCATCTATGAATGCATGAGCTGGCCATTTATTAATAAAGTTATGTATTTTGAAGTATCAAAATAAGAAGGGCTTTATGGAAAAAAGGAAACCTTTGCATTATTGCGCTTTGGTTGGGGTTTTCAGAGTGAACATGTGAAGGTGGAAATACTACTGACAGGAAATCCTCAAGTAGCTGTCTGAATTACATGGTTAATTTGAGTCATCCAGAATACCAAAAAAAAAAAAAAAAATTACAACACAGTTCAAAAGTAGCAAAATGCTGCTAGACAACTACCAAATTCTTCTGTTCATAATGAAGTTTCATATAGTAATAAGAAGTGACATTTAATTAAAAAATCATAATAGTAGTCTTTTATAAGATGATATTTTGTGTGCATCATCCTTTAACATTACCTTTTATCTCAGTTCAGAACTATAAAAGCTGAACTGGAATTAAAAAAAAAAAAAGGTACTTCTGAGATGAAATTAAAGTACCTGCCTGCATAGTGAGCATTGCTTATTGAATTTAAAATAATCATAATGTCTCTTTCATTGGAGCTAGCCTTTGGATTTGCTAGTTTTAATTTAAATTTTAGAGGAATTGCTAGGATAAGGATGGGAATTCAGCCTCACTGATTTGTAGCTTGATCTTGTTTCCACCTTGTAAGAGAACTGGTGAGTGTGGTCTCAGGACTCTTTCACCAGTGCTCTGCACATCTGATGTTTGTGGTTGGAGTTATTAAACTTTAACTATTTCAACTTTACAAGAGTAATTACCTTCAAGAACAAGACCAGTACTGAATGGGCGTGACTATTTCAGTTGTAGGCTTGGACAACCTGCACATTTCTTAAAGTTTGGCAACTGCTTTATAGTCTGCAGAGCACCTCTGTAATGCCTGGTGAGACAGGCACCGCTCCTCAAGCTTTTGCATGTCCCTGTGTGCATTCAGCCCACCTTTCATTAGCATGAACAGGGACACTTCACGCATCATGCATTTTTGCGGAAATCACCAGCTGAATGAAGGATTTCTTGAGCCTTTTTTGATAATTTTTGAGCTTTCTGTGAGACTCAAAAGCTGGAATAGGAGAGGTTGTTTCTGAGGGCACAAGCCCTCAAAATTTCACAATTAAATTTCAGAAATATTTTTGAGTCTCATTTTTCACGTTTGAAAGTTAGACATTTGTAGGAAATGCAGGCGATATAACAAGAAGAGTTCAGGGAGGGTTCTGTGGACCTTTTGGTATGATAGAACTGCTTTATTAATTCAAATAAAAATATTCTTACTGAGAGCTGCCACAAAGTAGTAGCAGCAGATAATCCATCACACATTGCAGATTTCTTAGTCATTATAACGTAAGTCTTCCTAGTAGTGGCTTGGCTGTGCAAGTATTCCTGACAATGTGAAAGCTAAGTTTGTTTGGTTCTTTTAAATAGGATATTTTGACATGGACAAATTGTTGCAAAATCTGATCTACAGATAAGGGTCACTGTCCAGATACATAGTGTAAAGTTTAGTGATGAGCTGCGTATCTGTAGATGTATAAGGAGGAATGCTCTACAAAATGACTCTATGGCCTTGCTTAAATCAATTGATGCATTAGTTATTTCATTTCAGGCACATGATTTTAACACACACACACCAATGATACATAAATGCCAACCAATACTTTTTCCCTAGTATGATTGAGTACAGAGTAGATGTACTATACAGTTCATTACAGTTGAAATAGCAACTTCTTGTGTATAAATAAGGTCTTTGTAATAGCTTGTGTTAAGTTGAAATTTTATGCATTATTACTATTATTTAAGAAGACTTTTTGCTCAAGTTATGTAGTTGTAATTTATTAATTTACTTAAGAAATATTATGCAGCCAGGGTGCCATATGTATGCTGAAATTTATAATGGTAGGTAACTTTATTTTTTTCCCAAATTATAAACTACATCTCTTTCATTTTTAATAAAAGCATTGCATATATTTTTTGAAAAGACTACTGTGTATTTGAATGTGGCACAGCAGTGTTCTGTCTAATCACTTTAGGAGTTATTTTAGAATATAATTCCAATTTGTTTTCATATATTAGTTATGAAGGAAAACTGAAATATGCAGGTATGTATTTCTATTAGACATATGAATTTGTCTTTTTGTTGTCCAATTATTTAAAAAGTGAGTAATAATGATTAAAAATATAATTACTAGCTGCAAGCCTGTTTGATGAATCCACTAGAAAAGGTGCATTTGTCAGCCTGCAGAAGCCTGCTTGTGATACTTGCAGTGTCATGTCCTTTTGATTTTGGAACAAGCTTGGAACTCACAATCCCATTGAAACAGGACAACCTTTGCAGACAAAGTGCCTTGGGAAGGAAGGACAGGAAATTAATTTGACCATGAAACACTGATGTAAAAACATCAACCAGATGAACAGAAAAAGGGAAATTTTCTCCAGCATGGAGAAATGTATAATTCAACTGCACAACTTGATGTTATCATCTGACAGGGAAGTGATCTTTAATGTAGAAGACTAGACAGCAAATCAGCCAAACCCATCTGTTATGACATTTGGTTTCCTTAAGATCCATATTCTTTGTAAGTTCACAGAACTGGCTCAAGCTACCAGGAATGAACTATATTATGAGTAACACACAAATATTTTTCTAATCACTGGACCATTTGAAGAAAACTAATTTTAAAACTTTATTGACATACTTATTGCTGGCAACTAATACTTTTAAAGTAATTAATACAATTAGTCTTGTGAACAATAGCAATTACCAACAGATGGGTAGTAACTTAAAAAAATATTATGTTGGGAGCTATTTGGGACGTTGTAGAAGTGTTGCTCTTACTGTAGTGTATTTAGTTTTGTACTACTTTGTATATATCTGATGCAATATCTCTGCCATTAATTTGCAATTATGAAAATTGCATAAGAAATAACAAGAGACTTTCAAGTTATGTGAATGAGTCATTTCAAAAACCACTGTTTTTCTGAATTTAGTTCAAGACATCCCACACCAGGATGAATGCAGAGTATATCAACATCTGTAAAAGATCTTGCATCTGATGAATTTGTTAGTCTTTAAAGCATTTGTCTCTCTGTAGAGAATACTGATCTTTGATTTCCAAAATCTGTTGGGTTTTTTTTTCCCCTCTAACTATATGAGGCATAAAAAGAGAGACTTCAAGGAGGATTTAGCACATTACTTTTTATTAGGATTTATCATCATCTTTTTTTTTTTTAATCAGCATATTTTTTCCTGTGACTTGATATTCTGGGAATTCTTTGGAGAAAACCAATTGGGTTTTAATCCTGCAAACATGTAATAACATGTCTAACAGTGCACACATGGGTGGTCACTCAGTTTTGTAAAGCTAAGCAAATGAGAAAATATTTGCTGAACTGGGAAGAGTAACCAAGAATATCTCCTGACCTTCAATGGTATAGCATAGGCCAAGTGTCTCACCAAACAAAAGCTCTTAAACAGTGCAGATTCTTTGTCTGCAAGTGGATAAACTAGCATAAGGTCTAACACCCATTTTGATTTCATGGATGTTGTGAATGCAAAGAGGAGAATATTGTTCTGTAAAACACATCAGATTGGTAATTTCACCAAAGAACTCCAACTACCACAATTTGAACTGCAATGTAGAGTTCAAACATGAGACATCCTGAGCCAGGCTCAGCCTTAAGAAAATGAAACAGCTCTTCTTCTCTGGGTCTGCAGATGAAAGTGTTGTGAACATCACGGAGGCGGCAGCTGAGACATCAACGTGCATTCAAGGACAGGGTGAGGGTTACCGTGGCACAGTCAACACCATATGGAGTGGAATCCAGTGCCAGCGGTGGGACTCCCAGTTTCCTCACCAGCACAACATCACTCCTGAGAACTTCAAGTGCAAGTGAGTAGAGATAAGTGGGTATTATTGCAGTGGGAAAAGAGCTTAGTTTTCAAACATTTAGAAATTCATGCCACCAAAGTAGACCATGGTATTGCTGTACCTGCTCTGCAACCTGATGTGTTCACTCTACTTGCTGATGCTGAAAACCATTTGAACATAGGAAAATCAGTTCTTCAGCTCTCAAAATATTAGTTCCAGATAAACTATGTGAAACTGTATGGGTTTTTATGAACTTTTTCTTGAGGTATGTATTCACAAATTTAATCAATTGTGAAGTGTATGGATGTTTTCCAGACTGGGACCTGAATCCCAATAGTGCTGCTTCTTTACTGTTGTTTTTCTTTCATGGAGGTAAGTACTTGTTTGCAGTTTGGTTACTGACTTTAACTTAGTATGTCCTAAATGTTACCTGAGTGTAATCTCCTTGGCAATACTTGATGTTTATAATATTTGACAACACTTTTATTTTCCATCTTTTTAATCCTTTTTCTGTGTCATTACTTAATGTACTTGCATGAATAGGACTGCTTTTACCTGAAGGACCACTGGTCATCTAACCCTTCTGTACAGTTCATAAACTCCCAGGATGTGAATAATCTACTTATTTTAGGCAGTTACCTTAATTATGCTCTTTCAGTCCTTTTATCACTAAGCATAGAGGAAACATAGCTGACTAGCATGGACCCAAAGCCCAGTTTGTACTAAACATCTTTACTGATGGCTAAATATCAGTCTGGGCTTGTGCTGGAATTTAATAGCATGGATCTTTCAAGGTAAAGAAAAGATTCCAGTCTGAGTTTGGATTATCTGTCTAACAATAGCTTGTTTGAGCAAAGCTGTTAGGTTTGTTGTCTTAATCCCTTCACTACTATTGTTCAGTTTATTGATCAAATACTGTGCATTGTAACACATCTACTGGAAATGTAACAATCATCATTGTAATGGAAAATAGGACTGATCCTGAGCCTCCTCTGTCAATCTCAGGACCACTTTGAATTTACCTGGACGTTAGTGTTTGAACCTGATCCCACAGGTTTTTCTCAGAGAAGCCATTGCTTAAACCAATTTGCGCTGAACCTGTGTAACACTGCTTCAGGATTAGGCCCTCATGCAGTTTTAACAATGTTCCTAGCAGTGTAGAGGGGCTAACGATTTTAGGACTGCTCATTCAGATGATGCTTGAGAGTCTAATGGCTGTTCAGGCCAGTAGCTTGAATAAAATCAGCAGAACCACTGGTACAACTGTCCAAAACTCACAAGAGTAAGAATTACAGTATTAGGCCCATTCTTTCCAGTCTATTATCAGTAAGTGCTGCAGAGGGAAAAATACAATGAAATATGGAGATGCACAGAACATGGCAACAACTGTCAGGAGATGGGAAAATAAAACTTACATTTAAGAGGTCTGACTATTTCATGTAAGCTGTGAGAGACATTTAAAAATGTTCCCTTGTGACTAACTTTTACTTTAAAGGTAACAGCTGTATAGAATTTCCACATATTTTTTTTTATATTCCAAGATTCAGTTTCTTAAATGAATCACTGACAGTCTGCAGGACCCTGTTTGTCTAAACTCAGCAGAACCATTCAAAGTACAGGGAATTTTAAGCACTTTGGTAATGTTTGTATTTAAAAGCACTTGTAATGGATTGCAGGTGTATCTAATGTCTGCTTCCATGCAAATTTTGATGGAGAATCCTGAATAAAAATAAGCTATATTGAAAATATTGTTAATCTTCAGATGAAATGTTATATCCAGTCAAAACATAGGCCCACTGGAAATGAATTCCCATAACCATATTCTTATTACAATTACTATATTTTTCTGGACACTGTGCTCTTACTGGCTTCTCATGTCCTTGCACTTGACACTGATCCGTAACATACAGACCTTAAGGAGCCTATATTATTGCTAATTCATAACAAAAAGCAATAGAATGCATCAGTGGCTTTAGGTTATCCCTGCTGTGAGCTAACATATTTATTTTTATAGGGATTTGAGGGAGAACTACTGTCGAAATCCAGATGGATCTGAATCACCCTGGTGTTTTACCACTGACCCAAACATCCGTATTGGTTATTGCTCCCAGATTCCTAAGTGTGATGTATCAAATGAACAAGGTAACAGAGGGAAGGGTGATAACATGATTTTAAGTGAATGCTGTGCTGTGCCAAATGGCAGATAGGCAGGCTTGAAAACTGGAGAAGTTGGTCTCAGTACATCTGTATTACACCTGTGTAGTTCCGCTTTGGCTTTATTTGCATACTTGGTATTCGTCATGGTGTAAATGAGATTCATTTCTCAGTTCATGTTTTGATTCCAACAGGGAAAGCTGTAGCAAAGATTTGCTATTGGATCTGATTTTTAGACAAGGTGAATCTCTATGCCATTTTATATTAGCTGGAGACCTGCTCCACTGTCTTACCTTTCTTAGTTTGAAAGGCCTTTTTCCAGAGCTGAGATGATTTCCTTGGTTCACAGTCTTTTTATAATTGTGTATGATGCCACCAAAAGCGATTTTTTAAAATTTATTTTTTCCATATACCCCCTTGTGTAAAAGGATTTGAGCTGAAAAAATATATGCGGGACTTCCCATATAACCTCTCAGCTTCAATCTGTTACCTCTGCCTGTAAAGTCCACTCTGAGTCTTCAGGCAAATGTTGTTTTTCCCATGAGGTCTTGGTATTAATTTAAGGAGTATTATTGCATCCTGACAACTGATGTCAATCATAGCATAAACTGAGGCTAAGACCTCAGACCTATGGCCCTACATCAGGCTGCTTTAAGATCTCCATCTTTAAATTTTAGCCTTTTTTTCTCTTAAAATTCAAAAACATTGCAGTTCCACGAGTTCTGTCAGAGAAAGGATTAAACTTTGACTTTCATTCTGTGTTTTTTGTAAAGTATCTATCAAAAAGTAAAAACACTGATGAATATGAAATTAAATGCTTTATACAAAAAGTCTTTATAGTAGTGATCATTTTAAACAATCCTCTTGAAAAGTCTCAAGAAGGCTTGTGATAAAAGCTTATGAATTAAACATGACTTCTGCTGCAGTGAACAGGCAAGTTTCTGAATTACATTAAAATTAAAGTCATGTTGATTTTTTTGATTTTGCCAAAGTCTAGAATTATATACTGTTGCCAGTATCCAGAATCTACAAAAAAGTAAGTTGTTTCAAATAGGCTAAGAGTGCTTGTTTTCTGAGGAGGGAGGATTAAGGGGACATTTTTGCTTTGATTGTATAAAACAGTTCCTGACAACTTTTAGAATATTCTGTGTGACCCTTCTAAATTAACCAAAAACTAACTATTTATGAAACAAATTTTCCCAGTTGATCTAAGTAAGATAAAATTTTAAATGCTACTGTATTGAGAATGAAGGCCTCAAGCAGGAGATTACGTTATCTAAATTTGAAAACTTTCTGCCATTTTCTTTCTGATTTGATTTATACAGTTGTCTCATTCATATTGTATAGAGTTTGCTAAATATAACACTTTAATTATTTGGATTACTGATGGAAAGGAAGAGTTTTCTTTTCAATGTTGCACAATCACCCTCCACTTCTTTTTGTCTCAACATTCTTATTCAGATTGTTATCTTGGCAATGGCAAGAGTTACATGGGGAATCTATCCAAGACAAGATTTGGGCTGACTTGCTCCACATGGGACAAGAATATTGAAGACTTACGTAGGTGTGTACATACAAAACAGAAAGAGATGGTTCAGTGAGTCCTGAATAAATACTGCCTCCAGATGGCATCTCATTTTTTTTCTGCAGTCATTCTAAAATAGCCCCTTATGCCCTGGAGCTTTAGTATCTTTTTAAATTTTTTTTTTCTCTCAGTACTTAAATATATTACGCAACATGTCTTTGTTCAGGCTAACCACTAATTGCAGGCTTTGGGATGTTTCTTAGTGTTTAGTTTACTGGCCTGGTTTACCCTATCTTTGAGAAGATAACAGGAATAAAGCAGGAAATGTTTATCTGGTCAATCTGATCTCATAGCTCATGCTGCTTCAAGCAGGAGGTTGGATGTGAAACTACGTAAGGTCCCTTGCAGGTTGAAATTGAATCTTGAGTCTATGATCTAATGACACTGACATCAAATGCCATTAAAGCAACTTGCAATTTCTGTTGTTTGTCATTACTTTGGCTTCATATTCAAGTAGCAGAAATGTCAAGTTGCTTTAATTTATTTGTGTCATCGTTGAACCTCAGCTGGCAACTAAGCACCACATAGCCACTCACTCACCTCCCCTGGTGGGAGCGGGGAGAGAATCAGAAGGGTAAAAGTGAGAAAACTTGGGGG